TAACCCTAACCCTAACCCTAACCCTAACCCTAACCCTAACCCTAACCCTAACCCTAACCCTAACCCTAACCCTAACCCTAACCCTAACCCTAACCCTAACCCTAACCCTAACCCTAACCCTAACCCTAACCCTAACCCTAACCCTAACCCTAACCCTAACCCTAACCCTAACCCTAACCCTAACCCTAACCCTAACCCTAACCCTAACCCTAACCCTAACCCTAACCCTAACCCTAACCCTAACCCTAACCCTAACCCTAACCCTAACCCTAACCCTAACCCTAACCCTAACCCTAACCCTAACCCTAACCCTAACCCTAACCCTAACCCTAACCCTAACCCTAACCCTAACCCTAACCCTAACCCTAACCCTAACCCTAACCCTAACCCTAACCCTAACCCTAACCCTAACCCTAACCCTAACCCTAACCCTAACCCTAACCCTAACCCTAACCCTAACCCTAACCCTAACCCTAACCCTAACCCTAACCCTAACCCTAACCCTAACCCTAACCCTAACCCTAACCCTAACCCTAACCCTAACCCTAACCCTAACCCTAACCCTAACCCTAACCCTAACCCTAACCCTAACCCTAACCCTAACCCTAACCCTAACCCTAACCCTAACCCTAACCCTAACCCTAACCCTAACCCTAACCCTAACCCTAACCCTAACCCTAACCCTAACCCTAACCCTAACCCTAACCCTAACCCTAACCCTAACCCTAACCCTAACCCTAACCCTAACCCTAACCCTAACCCTAACCCTAACCCTAACCCTAACCCTAACCCTAACCCTAACCCTAACCCTAACCCTAACCCTAACCCTAACCCTAACCCTAACCCTAACCCTAACCCTAACCCTAACCCTAACCCTAACCCTAACCCTAACCCTAACCCTAACCCTAACCCTAACCCTAACCCTAACCCTAACCCTAACCCTAACCCTAACCCTAACCCTAACCCTAACCCTAACCCTAACCCTAACCCTAACCCTAACCCTAACCCTAACCCTAACCCTAACCCTAACCCTAACCCTAACCCTAACCCTAACCCTAACCCTAACCCTAACCCTAACCCTAACCCTAACCCTAACCCTAACCCTAACCCTAACCCTAACCCTAACCCTAACCCTAACCCTAACCCTAACCCTAACCCTAACCCTAACCCTAACCCTAACCCTAACCCTAACCCTAACCCTAACCCTAACCCTAACCCTAACCCTAACCCTAACCCTAACCCTAACCCTAACCCTAACCCTAACCCTAACCCTAACCCTAACCCTAACCCTAACCCTAACCCTAACCCTAACCCTAACCCTAACCCTAACCCTAACCCTAACCCTAACCCTAACCCTAACCCTAACCCTAACCCTAACCCTAACCCTAACCCTAACCCTAACCCTAACCCTAACCCTAACCCTAACCCTAACCCTAACCCTAACCCTAACCCTAACCCTAACCCTAACCCTAACCCTAACCCTAACCCTAACCCTAACCCTAACCCTAACCCTAACCCTAACCCTAACCCTAACCCTAACCCTAACCCTAACCCTAACCCTAACCCTAACCCTAACCCTAACCCTAACCCTAACCCTAACCCTAACCCTAACCCTAACCCTAACCCTAACCCTAACCCTAACCCTAACCCTAACCCTAACCCTAACCCTAACCCTAACCCTAACCCTAACCCTAACCCTAACCCTAACCCTAACCCTAACCCTAACCCAAACCCTAACCCTAACCCTAACCCTAACCCTAACCCTTCTGGTGGAAGGATTTGGGCCCTGGCACTTAGAAATTTTTCGGTCACCCGCCTCCCATTCGTTTCAATGGGACAACTTCAACGGCGGATATCTCCGGAACGGAAGGTCGTAGAGACTCGGGGTTTTCACCGTTGGATCCGGCGTGGTCTAGACAGTTCACAGGTTTTGTCCGCTTGTTTCTGTGACGATCGGTTGATGAGATAAAGAAGGACGAATGTCCCACACTCGACCTTCTATATCTCCGGAACCAAAGGTCATAGAGACTCGGGGTTTTCACCGTTGGATCCGGCGTGGTCTAGGCAGGGCACAGGTTTTGTCCTCTTGTTTCTGTGACGATCGGTTGATGAGATAAAGTAGGACCAAGTTTGCCAAACTTTTACCTCTTATATCTCCAGAACGGAAGGTCGTAGAGACTCCAAACCACCTTCCGCCTGCCCTAATTCGACCCTTCTGAATCCAACGGTGGTCTCCCCGAGTTTCTACGACCTTCCGTTCCGGAGATACAGAAAATACACTGTAAAAACGACATTATCTCACCTCAGGTGGGGCGTAGAACTACGGGGTTTCCACCGTTGGAAAGCCAGACATCGACTTTGGGGGGGTAGGTGCCATCAGCTTTTTCCTACGACGCTCCTATCAAGAGATAAAGTCACTTGAAATTTTGAAATTTTAATTAAATTACATTAAATTACATTTAAATGCATTTAAAGGGACACAAACTGCCCTAGAACGCTCAGTCTGTCTCTGACAGACCTCGGGAGCACATCCCCTTGTCCGGCTCCACGCAGAGGACCGTCACAAGGTAACGGACTCTTACACTTACACTATCACCTACCCTATCACTTACTCTTACCCTAAGACATACAAATACACTTTCACTTATCACTTACTCTTACCCTAACACTCACACATACAATTGCACTATCACTTACCCTTTCACTTACACTTACCCTAAGTATGGGTTGGGAAAATTGGTCACTCAAAGTAGGTAACATTGGACTCCAAATGGTCTGAAACGTGCTCATGTGAGGTTTCTGGGGGAAGGATTTGGCCCCTGACACTTAGAAATTTTTCACTCACCCGCCTCCCATTCGTTTCAATGGGGCGACTTCAACCAATCATATCTCCGGCTAGGAAGGTCGTAGAGACTTGTGGGTGGTACCGTTGGATTCGGCGTGGCCACAAATGGGGGGGTAGCCGCGGTCTCTGAGCTATGCCCCCACTTCCCTGGCCGTGAGAGACGTTTGATTGTTTTTACCCATGATGCATTGGGGGCAAACTTTGGGCAACTTTACCACAGCCTCCAGCCGGGCCCCCTGAAGCCCTGGGAAGTGGAATGGTGTCTCTAGCTGGTCCTCAAAAAGTTTGCCCCCATATTTTAAAGTGGTACTTACCCCTTATACCTAACCCTAACCCTAACCCTAACCCTAACCCAAACCCTAACCCTAACCCTAACCCTAACCCTAACCCTTCTGGTGGAAGGATTTGGGCCCTGGCACTTAGAAATTTTTCGGTCACCCGCCTCCCATTCGTTTCAATGGGACAACTTCAACGGCGGATATCTCCGGAACGGAAGGTCGTAGAGACTCGGGGTTTTCACCGTTGGATCCGGCGTGGTCTAGACAGTTCACAGGTTTTGTCCGCTTGTTTCTGTGACGATCGGTTGATGAGATAAAGAAGGACGAATGTCCCACACTCGACCTTCTATATCTCCGGAACCAAAGGTCATAGAGACTCGGGGTTTTCACCGTTGGATCCGGCGTGGTCTAGGCAGGGCACAGGTTTTGTCCTCTTGTTTCTGTGACGATCGGTTGATGAGATAAAGTAGGACCAAGTTTGCCAAACTTTTACCTCTTATATCTCCAGAACGGAAGGTCGTAGAGACTCCAAACCACCTTCCGCCTGCCCTAATTCGACCCTTCTGAATCCAACGGTGGTCTCCCCGAGTTTCTACGACCTTCCGTTCCGGAGATACAGAAAATACACTGTAAAAACGACATTATCTCACCTCAGGTGGGGCGTAGAACTACGGGGTTTCCACCGTTGGAAAGCCAGACATCGACTTTGGGGGGGTAGGTGCCATCAGCTTTTTCCTACGACGCTCCTATCAAGAGATAAAGTCACTTGAAATTTTGAAATTTTAATTAAATTACATTAAATTACATTTAAATGCATTTAAAGGGACACAAACTGCCCTAGAACGCTCAGTCTGTCTCTGACAGACCTCGGGAGCACATCCCCTTGTCCGGCTCCACGCAGAGGACCGTCACAAGGTAACGGACTCTTACACTTACACTATCACCTACCCTATCACTTACTCTTACCCTAAGACATACAAATACACTTTCACTTATCACTTACTCTTACCCTAACACTCACACATACAATTGCACTATCACTTACCCTATCACTTACACTTACCCTAAGTATGGGTTGGGAAAAGTGGTCACTCAAAGTAGGTACCATTGGACTCCAAATGGTCTGAAACGTGCTCATGTGAGGTTTCTGGGGGAAGGATTTGGCCCCTGACACTTAGAAATTTTTCAGTCACCCGCCTCCCATTCGTTTCAATGGGGCGACTTCAACTAATCATATCTCCGGCTAGGAAGGTCGTAGAGACTTGTGGGTGGTACCGTTGGATTCGGCGTGGCCACAAATGGGGGGGTAGCCGCGGTCCCTGAGCTATGCCCCCACTTCCCTGGCCGTGAGAGACGTTTGATTGTTTTTACCCATGATGCATTGGGGGCAAACTTTGGGCAACTTTACCACAGCCTCCAGCCGGGCCCCCTGAAGCCCTGGGAAGTGGAATGGTGTCTCTAGCTGGTCCTCAAAAAGTTTGCCCCCATATTTTAAAGTGGTACTTACCCCTTATACCTAACCCTAACCCTAACCCTAACCCTAACCCTAACCCAAACCCTAACCCTAACCCTAACCCTAACCCTTCTGGTGGAAGGATTTGGGCCCTGGCACTTAGAAATTTTTCGGTCACCCGCCTCCCATTCGTTTCAATGGGACAACTTCAACGGCGGATATCTCCGGAACGGAAGGTCGTAGAGACTCGGGGTTTTCACCGTTGGATCCGGCGTGGTCTAGACAGTTCACAGGTTTTGTCCGCTTGTTTCTGTGACGATCGGTTGATGAGATAAAGAAGGACGAATGTCCCACACTCGACCTTCTATATCTCCGGAACCAAAGGTCATAGAGACTCGGGGTTTTCACCGTTGGATCCGGCGTGGTCTAGGCAGGGCACAGGTTTTGTCCTCTTGTTTCTGTGACGATCGGTTGATGAGATAAAGTAGGACCAAGTTTGCCAAACTTTTACCTCTTATATCTCCAGAACGGAAGGTCGTAGAGACTCCAAACCACCTTCCGCCTGCCCTAATTCGACCCTTCTGAATCCAACGGTGGTCTCCCCGAGTTTCTACGACCTTCCGTTCCGGAGATACAGAAAATACACTGTAAAAACGACATTATCTCACCTCAGGTGGGGCGTAGAACTACGGGGTTTCCACCGTTGGAAAGCCAGACATCGACTTTGGGGGGGTAGGTGCCATCAGCTTTTTCCTACGACGCTCCTATCAAGAGATAAAGTCACTTGAAATTTTGAAATTTTAATTAAATTACATTAAATTACATTTAAATGCATTTAAAGGGACACAAACTGCCCTAGAACGCTCAGTCTGTCTCTGACAGACCTCGGGAGCACATCCCCTTGTCCGGCTCCACGCAGAGGACCGTCACAAGGTAACGGACTCTTACACTTACACTATCACCTACCCTATCACTTACTCTTACCCTAAGACATACAAATACACTTTCACTTATCACTTACTCTTACCCTAACACTCACACATACAATTGCACTATCACTTACCCTATCACTTACACTTACCCTAAGTATGGGTTGGGAAAAGTGGTCACTCAAAGTAGGTACCATTGGACTCCAAATGGTCTGAAACGTGCTCATGTGAGGTTTCTGGGGGAAGGATTTGGCCCCTGACACTTAGAAATTTTTCAGTCACCCGCCTCCCATTCGTTTCAATGGGGCGACTTCAACTAATCATATCTCCGGCTAGGAAGGTCGTAGAGACTTGTGGGTGGTACCGTTGGATTCGGCGTGGCCACAAATGGGGGGGTAGCCGCGGTCCCTGAGCTATGCCCCCACTTCCCTGGCCGTGAGAGACGTTTGATTGTTTTTACCCATGATGCATTGGGGGCAAACTTTGGGCAACTTTACCACAGCCTCCAGCCGGGCCCCCTGAAGCCCTGGGAAGTGGAATGGTGTCTCTAGCTGGTCCTCAAAAAGTTTGCCCCCATATTTTAAAGTGGTACTTACCCCTTATACCTAACCCTAACCCTAACCCTAACCCTAACCCTAACCCTAACCCAACCCTAACCACCCTAACCCTAACCCTAACCCTAACCCTAACCCTAACCCGATACATCTACTCCATCTACTCCACCTAACCCTAAACATAACCCCAACCCTAAAACTTAGTCCTAACCCTAAACATAACCCCAACCCTAAAACTTAGTCCTAACCCTAAACATAACCCCAACCCTAAAACTTAGTCCTAACCCTAAACATAACCCCAACCCTAAAACTTAGTCCTAACCCTAAACATAACCCCAAACCCTACCATCTAGGACAACAAACAAACGCCTTATCATGAACCCTGACCCTTAAGGATATTAACCATACCCCTATGCCTGAAGGGTACACAGGAATACCGGACTTGGCTCATTGACTTTTAAAGGGGGATGAACCAACACCAGTTAGGAACTCCTCAGGGACATACGATAGCCTAAGCATTGGTGACATTAAAAGATGAACAAAGCAAACCATCCCTGGAACACGATTCTGTACTATACTACAGCAGAAATGGAGAAATAAAATGGCCAATAAGACCAATTTGGGTCACAACTTTTGAAACAAGTTGGTAGTCAATAAGGAAACAAGAGCTGCGGATGACGTGCGTCGGCCCGTGCATTGCCTTTGGCTCCCTAGTTCAACTGCTGAGTCGTTGGATGAGGCCTTACACTTACACTATCACCTACCCTATCACTTACTCTTACCCTAACACTCACACATACACTTTCACTAACACTTACCCAAACACTTACGCTGACCCTAACAATGGGTTGGGAAAAACGGTCACTCAAAGTAGGTACCATTAGACTCCAAATGGTCTGAAACGTGCTCATTTGAGGTTTCTGGGGGAAGGATTCGGCCCCTGACACTTAGAAATTTTTCGGTCACCCGCCTCCCATTCGTTTCAATGGGACGACTTCAACGGCGGATATCTCCGGAACGGAAGGTCGTAGAGACTCGGGGTTTTCACCGTTGGATCCGGCGTGGTCTAGACAGTTCACAGGTTTTGTCCGCTTGTTTCTGTGATGATCGGTTGATGAGATAAAGAAGGACGAATGTCCCACACTCGACCTTCTATATCTCCAGAACCAAAGGTCATAGAGACTCGGGGTTTTCACCGTTGGATCCGGCGTGGTCTAGGCAGGGCACAGGTTTTGTCCTCTTGTTTCTGTGACGATCGGTTGATGAGATAAAGTAGGACCAATTTTGCCAAACTTTGACCTCTTATATCTCCAGAACGGAAGGTCGTAGAGACTCCAAACCACCTTCCGCCTGCCCTAATTCGACCCTTCTGAATCCAACGGTGGTCTCCCCGAGTTTCTACGACCTTCCGTTCCGGAGATACAGAAAATACACTGTAAAAACGACATTATCTCACCTCAGGTGGGGCGTAGAACTACAAGGTTTCCACCGTTGGAAAGCCAGACATCGACTTTGGGGGGGTAGGTGCCATCGGTTTCTTCCTACGACCTTCCTATCAAGAGATAAAGTCACTTGAAATTTTGTATTTTTAATAAAATTACATTAAATTACATTTAAATGCATTTAAAGGGACACAAACTGCCCTACAACGCTCAGTCTGTCTCTGACAGACCTCGGGAGCACACCCCCTTGTCCGGCTCCACGCAGAGGACCGTCACAAGGTAACGGACTCTTACACTTACACTATCACCTACCCTATCACTTACTCTTACCCTAAGACATACAAATACACTTTCACTTATCACTTACTCTTACCCTAACACTCACACATACAATTGCACTATCACTTACCCTATCACTTACACTTACCCTAAGTATGGGTTGGGAAAAGTGGTCACTCAAAGTAGGTACCATTGGACTCCAAATGGTCTGAAACGTGCTCATGTGAATTTTCTGGGGGAAGGATTTGGCCCCTGACACTTAGAAATTTTTCAGTCACCCGCCTCCCATTCGTTTCAATGGGGCAACTTCATTGGACCATATCTCCGGCTAGGAAGGTCGTAGAGACTCGGGGGTGGTACCGTTGGATTCGGCGTGGGCACAAATGGGGGGGTAGCCGCGGTCTCTAAGCTAAGAACCAACTTTTCCGACCGTGAGAGATGTTTGATTGTTTTTACCCATGATGCTTTGCGGCAATCTTGGGTTCTTTGGTACCCCCGCCTCCGGCCGGTCCCCCTGAGCGCGGCAAAAGTTGAATGGTGGCTCTGAGTGGTTCACAGCCAGAAAGAACCGCGATCATCAAGTGGTACTTACCCCTTATACCTAACCCTAACCCTAACCCTAACCCTAACCCTAACCCTAACCCTAACCCTAACCCTAACCCTAACCCTAACCCTAACCCTAACCCTAACCCTAACCCTAACCCTAACCCCCTAACCCTAACCCTAACCCTAACCCTAACCCTAACCCTAACCCTAACCCTAACCCTAACCCTAACCCTAACCCTAAACCCTAACCCTAACCCTAACCCTAACCCTAACCCTAACCCTAACCCTAACCCTAACCCTAACCCTAACCCTAACCCTAACCCTAACCCTAACCCTAACCCTAACCCTAACCCTAACCCTAACCCTAACCCTAACCCTAACCCTAACCCTAACCCTAACCCTACCCTATCACTTACTCTTACCCTAACACTCACACACACAATTTCACTATCACTTACCCTATCACTTACACTTACCCTAAGTATGGGTTGGGAAAACTGGTCACTCAAAGTAGGTACCATTGGACTCCAAATGCTCTGAAACGTGCTCCTATGAGGTTTCTGGGGGAAGGATTTGGGCCCTGGCACTTAGAAATTTTTCGGTCACCCGCCTCCCATTCGTTTCAATGGGGCGACTTCAACCAATCATATCTCCGGCTAGGAAGGTCGTAGAGACTTGTGGGTGGTACCGTTGGATTCGGCGTGGCCGCAAATGGGGGGGTAGCCGCGGTCCCTGAGCTATGCCCCCACTTCCCTGGCCGTGAGAGACGTTTGATTGTTTTTACCCATGATGCATTGGGGGCAAACTTTGGGCAACTTTACCACAGCCTCCAGCCGGGCCCCCTGAAGCCCTGGGAAGTGGAATGGTGTCTCTAGCTGGTCCTCAAAAAGTTTGCCCCCATATTTTAAAGTGGTACTTACCCCTTATACCTAACCCTAACCCTAACCCTAACCCTAACCCTAACCCTAACCCCTAACCCTAACCCCTAACCCTAACCCTAACCCTAACCCTAACCCTAACCCTACCCTATCACTTACTCTTACCCTAACACTCACACACACAATTTCACTATCACTTACCCTATCACTTACACTTACCCTAAGTATGGGTTGGGAAAACTGGTCACTCAAAGTAGGTACCATTGGACTCCAAATGCTCTGAAACGTGCTCCTATGAGGTTTCTGGGGGAAGGATTTGGGCCCTGGCACTTAGAAATTTTTCGGTCACCCGCCTCCCATTCGTTTCAATGGGGCGACTTCAACCAATCATATCTCCGGCTAGGAAGGTCGTAGAGACTTGTGGGTGGTACCGTTGGATTCGGCGTGGCCGCAAATGGGGGGGTAGCCGCGGTCCCTGAGCTATGCCCCCACTTCCCTGGCCGTGAGAGACGTTTGATTGTTTTTACCCATGATGCATTGGGGGCAAACTTTGGGCAACTTTACCACAGCCTCCAGCCGGGCCCCCTGAAGCCCTGGGAAGTGGAATGGTGTCTCTAGCTGGTCCTCAAAAAGTTTGCCCCCATATTTTAAAGTGGTACTTACCCCTTATACCTAACCCTAACCCTAACCCTAACCCTAACCCTAACCCTAACCCCTAACCCTAACCCCTAACCCTAACCCTAACCCTAACCCTAACCCTAACCCTACCCTATCACTTACTCTTACCCTAACACTCACACACACAATTTCACTATCACTTACCCTATCACTTACACTTACCCTAAGTATGGGTTGGGAAAACTGGTCACTCAAAGTAGGTACCATTGGACTCCAAATGCTCTGAAACGTGCTCCTATGAGGTTTCTGGGGGAAGGATTTGGGCCCTGGCACTTAGAAATTTTTCGGTCACCCGCCTCCCATTCGTTTCAATGGGGCGACTTCAACCAATCATATCTCCGGCTAGGAAGGTCGTAGAGACTTGTGGGTGGTACCGTTGGATTCGGCGTGGCCGCAAATGGGGGGTAGCCGCGGTCCCTGAGCTATGCCCCCACTTCCCTGGCCGTGAGAGACGTTTGATTGTTTTTACCCATGATGCATTGGGGGCAAACTTTGGGCAACTTTACCACAGCCTCCAGCCGGGCCCCCTGAAGCCCTGGGAAGTGGAATGGTGTCTCTAGCTGGTCCTCAAAAAGTTTGCCCCCATATTTTAAAGTGGTACTTACCCCTTATACCTAACCCTAACCCTAACCCTAACCCTAACCCTCTTCATCAAATTCTTTTCCATCCCTGTTTCTTTCTTCTTTTTCTTCCTTTTTTCTGTATTATTTATTCTGTCTTTCTCGTTTGTTCTTTATTCTATCTTTTCAATCTTTTCCTATTCTGTTTTTCTATTCTACATTGAGAAAAACAAACATTGGAGGGGAGTTTCTGAGTGACACGCGCCGGCCCGTGCATTGCCAGTGACTCTCTACTCCAAACTGTTTTGGTCAAGGTACTGATTCAGGGGGATGTCACTGAGATACATCTACTCCATCTACTCCACCTAACCCTAACCCATCACCTACACTATCACTTACCCTTACCCTAACACTCACACATACACTTTCACTAACACTTACCCAAACACTTACACTTACCCTAAGTATGGGTTGGGAAAACTGGTCACTCAAAGTAGGTACCATTAGACTCCAAATGTTCTGAAACGTGCTCATTTGAGGTTTCTGTGGGAAGAAATTGGCTTCTGACACTTAGAAATTTTTCGGTCACCCGCCTCCCATTCGTTTCAATGGGACGACTTCAACGGCGGATATCTCCGGAACGGAAGGTCGTAGAGACTCGGGGTTTTCACCGTTGGATTTGGCGTGGTCTAGACAGTTCACAGGTTTTGTCCGCTTGTTTCTGTGACGATCGGTTGATGAGATAAAGAAGGACGAATGTCCCACACTCGACCTTCTATATCTCCGGAACCAAAGGTCATAGAGACTCGGGGTTTTCACCGTTGGATCCGGCGTGGTCTAGGCAGGGCACAGGTTTTGTCCTCTTGTTTCTGTGACGATCGGTTGATGAGATAAAGTAGGACCAAGTTTGCCAAACTTTGACCTCTTATATCCCCAGAACGGAAGGTCGTAGAGACTCCAAACCACCTTCCGCCTGCCCTAATTCGACCCTTCCGAATCCAACGGTGGTCTCCCCGAGTTTCTACGACCTTCCCTTCCGGAGATACAGAAAATACACTGTAAAAACGACATTATCTCACCTCAGGTGGGGCGTAGAACTACGGGGTTTCCACCGTTGGAAAGCCAGACATCGACTTTGGGGGGGTAGGTGCCATCAGTTTTTTCATACGACCTTCCTATCAAGAGATAAAGTCACTTGAAAATTAAAAATTTTAATTAAATTACATTAAATTACATTTAAATGCATTTAAAGGGACACAAACTGCCCTAGAACGCTCAGTCTGTCTCTGACAGACCTCGGGAGCACACCCCCTTGTCCGGCTCCACGCAGAGGACCGTCACAAGGTAACGGACTCTTACACTTACACTATCACCTACCCTATCACTTACTCTTACCCTAAGACATACAAATACACTTTCACTTATCACTTACTCTTACCCTAACACTCACACATACAATTGCACTATCACCTACCCTTTCACTTACACTTACCCTAAGTATGGGTTGGGAAAAGTGGTCACTCAAAGTAGGTACCATTGGACTCCAAATGGTCTGAAACGTGCTCATGTGAGGTTTCTGGGGGAAGGATTTGGGCCCTGACACTTAGAAATTTTTCAGTCACCCGCCTCCCATTCGTTTCAATGGGGCGACTTCAACCAATCATATCTCCGACTAGGAAGGTCGTAGAGACTTGTGGGTGGTACCGTTGGATTCGGCGTGGCCACAAATGGGGGGGTAGCCGCGGTCCCTAAGCTAAGATCCAACTTTTCCGGCCGTGAGAGATGTTTGATTGTTTTTACCCATGATGCTTTGCGGCAATCTGGGGGTCTTTGGTACCCCCGGCTCCGGCCGGTCCCCCTGAGCGCGGCAAAAGTTGAATGGTCGCTCTGAGTGGTTCAGAGCCAGAAAGACCCTCGATAACAAAGTGGTACTTACCCCTTATACCTAACCCTAACCCTAACCCTAACCCTAACCCTAACCCTAACCCTAACCCTAACCCTAACCCTAACCCTAACCCTAACCCTAACCCTAACCCTAACCCTAACCCTAACCCTAACCCTAACCCTAACCCTAACCCTAACCCTAACCCTAACCCTAACCCTAACCCTAACCCTAACCCTAACCCTAACCCTAACCCTAACCCTAACCCTAACCCCGAAATTTTAAAATTTTAATTAAATTACATTAAATTACATTTAAATGCATTTAAAGGGACACAAACTGCCCTAGAACGCTCAGTCTGTCTCTGACAGACCTCGGGAGCACACCCCCTTGTCCGGCTCCACGCAGAGGATCGTCACAAGGTAACGGACTCATACACTTACACTATCACCTACCCTATCACTTACTCTTACCCTAACACATACAGACCTAGGGAGCACATCACCTTGTCCGTCTCCACTCAGAGGATCACAGGGCAACAGACTCTTTCACTATCACCTACCCTATCACTTACTCTTACCCTAACACTCACACACACAATTTCACTATCACTTACCCTATCACTTACACTTACCCTAAGTATGGGTTGGGAAAACTGGTCACTCAAAGTAGGTACCATTGGACTCCAAATGCTCTGAAACGTGCTCCTATGAGGTTTCTGGGGGAAGGATTTGGGCCCTGGCACTTAGAAATTTTTCGGTCACCCGCCTCCCATTCGTTTCAATGGGGCGACTTCAACCAATCATATCTCCGGCTAGGAAGGTCGTAGAGACTTGTGGGTGGTACCGTTGGATTCGGCGTGGCCGCAAATGGGGGGGTAGCCGCGGTCCCTGAGCTATGCCCCCACTTCCCTGGCCGTGAGAGACGTTTGATTGTTTTTACCCATGATGCATTGGGGGCAAACTTTGGGCAACTTTACCACAGCCTCCAGCCGGGCCCCCTGAAGCCCTGGGAAGTGGAATGGTGTCTCTAGCTGGTCCTCAAAAAGTTTGCCCCCATATTTTAAAGTGGTACTTACCCCTTATACCTAACCCTAACCCTAACCCTAACCCTAACCCTAACCCCTAACCCTAACCCCTAACCCTAACCCTAACCCTAACCCTAACCCTAACCCTACCCTATCACTTACTCTTACCCTAACACTCACACACACAATTTCACTATCACTTACCCTATCACTTACACTTACCCTAAGTATGGGTTGGGAAAACTGGTCACTCAAAGTAGGTACCATTGGACTCCAAATGCTCTGAAACGTGCTCCTATGAGGTTTCTGGGGGAAGGATTTGGGCCCTGGCACTTAGAAATTTTTCGGTCACCCGCCTCCCATTCGTTTCAATGGGGCGACTTCAACCAATCATATCTCCGGCTAGGAAGGTCGTAGAGACTTGTGGGTGGTACCGTTGGATTCGGCGTGGCCGCAAATGGGGGGGTAGCCGCGGTCCCTGAGCTATGCCCCCACTTCCCTGGCCGTGAGAGACGTTTGATTGTTTTTACCCATGATGCATTGGGGGCAAACTTTGGGCAACTTTACCACAGCCTCCAGCCGGGCCCCCTGAAGCCCTGGGAAGTGGAATGGTGTCTCTAGCTGGTCCTCAAAAAGTTTGCCCCCATATTTTAAAGTGGTACTTACCCCTTATACCTAACCCTAACCCTAACCCTAACCCTAACCCTAACCCTAACCCCTAACCCTAACCCCTAACCCTAACCCTAACCCTAACCCTAACCCTAACCCTACCCTATCACTTACTCTTACCCTAACACTCACACACACAATTTCACTATCACTTACCCTATCACTTACACTTACCCTAAGTATGGGTTGGGAAAACTGGTCACTCAAAGTAGGTACCATTGGACTCCAAATGCTCTGAAACGTGCTCCTATGAGGTTTCTGGGGGAAGGATTTGGGCCCTGGCACTTAGAAATTTTTCGGTCACCCGCCTCCCATTCGTTTCAATGGGGCGACTTCAACCAATCATATCTCCGGCTAGGAAGGTCGTAGAGACTTGTGGGTGGTACCGTTGGATTCGGCGTGGCCGCAAATGGGGGGGTAGCCGCGGTCCCTGAGCTATGCCCCCACTTCCCTGGCCGTGAGAGACGTTTGATTGTTTTTACCCATGATGCATTGGGGGCAAACTTTGGGCAACTTTACCACAGCCTCCAGCCGGGCCCCCTGAAGCCCTGGGAAGTGGAATGGTGTCTCTAGCTGGTCCTCAAAAAGTTTGCCCCCATATTTTAAAGTGGTACTTACCCCTTATACCTAACCCTAACCCTAACCCTAACCCTAACCCTAACCCTAACCCCTAACCCTAACCCCTAACCCTAACCCTAACCCTAACCCTAACCCTAACCCTACCCTATCACTTACTCTTACCCTAACACTCACACACACAATTTCACTATCACTTACCCTATCACTTACACTTACCCTAAGTATGGGTTGGGAAAACTGGTCACTCAAAGTAGGTACCATTGGACTCCAAATGCTCTGAAACGTGCTCCTATGAGGTTTCTGGGGGAAGGATTTGGGCCCTGGCACTTAGAAATTTTTCGGTCACCCGCCTCCCATTCGTTTCAATGGGGCGACTTCAACCAATCATATCTCCGGCTAGGAAGGTCGTAGAGACTTGTGGGTGGTACCGTTGGATTCGGCGTGGCCGCAAATGGGGGGTAGCCGCGGTCCCTGAGCTATGCCCCCACTTCCCTGGCCGTGAGAGACGTTTGATTGTTTTTACCCATGATGCATTGGGGGCAAACTTTGGGCAACTTTACCACAGCCTCCAGCCGGGCCCCCTGAAGCCCTGGGAAGTGGAATGGTGTCTCTAGCTGGTCCTCAAAAAGTTTGCCCCCATATTTTAAAGTGGTACTTACCCCTTATACCTAACCCTAACCCTAACCCTAACCCTAACCCTCTTCATCAAATTCTTTTCCATCCCTGTTTCTTTCTTCTTTTTCTTCCTTTTTTCTGTATTATTTATTCTGTCTTTCTCGTTTGTTCTTTATTCTATCTTTTCAATCTTTTCCTATTCTGTTTTTCTATTCTACATTGAGAAAAACAAACATTGGAGGGGAGTTTCTGAGTGACACGCGCCGGCCCGTGCATTGCCAGTGACTCTCTACTCCAAACTGTTTTGGTCAAGGTACTGATTCAGGGGGATGTCACTGAGATACATCTACTCCATCTACTCCACCTAACCCTAACCCATCACCTACACTATCACTTACCCTTACCCTAACACTCACACATACACTTTCACTAACACTTACCCAAACACTTACACTTACCCTAAGTATGGGTTGGGAAAACTGGTCACTCAAAGTAGGTACCATTAGACTCCAAATGTTCTGAAACGTGCTCATTTGAGGTTTCTGTGGGAAGAAATTGGCTTCTGACACTTAGAAATTTTTCGGTCACCCGCCTCCCATTCGTTTCAATGGGACGACTTCAACGGCGGATATCTCCGGAACGGAAGGTCGTAGAGACTCGGGGTTTTCACCGTTGGATTTGGCGTGGTCTAGACAGTTCACAGGTTTTGTCCGCTTGTTTCTGTGACGATCGGTTGATGAGATAAAGAAGGACGAATGTCCCACACTCGACCTTCTATATCTCCGGAACCAAAGGTCATAGAGACTCGGGGTTTTCACCGTTGGATCCGGCGTGGTCTAGGCAGGGCACAGGTTTTGTCCTCTTGTTTCTGTGACGATCGGTTGATGAGATAAAGTAGGACCAAGTTTGCCAAACTTTGACCTCTTATATCCCCAGAACGGAAGGTCGTAGAGACTCCAAACCACCTTCCGCCTGCCCTAATTCGACCCTTCCGAATCCAACGGTGGTCTCCCCGAGTTTCTACGACCTTCCCTTCCGGAGATACAGAAAATACACTGTAAAAACGACATTATCTCACCTCAGGTGGGGCGTAGAACTACGGGGTTTCCACCGTTGGAAAGCCAGACATCGACTTTGGGGGGGTAGGTGCCATCAGTTTTTTCATACGACCTTCCTATCAAGAGATAAAGTCACTTGAAAATTAAAAATTTTAATTAAATTACATTAAATTACATTTAAATGCATTTAAAGGGACACAAACTGCCCTAGAACGCTCAGTCTGTCTCTGACAGACCTCGGGAGCACACCCCCTTGTCCGGCTCCACGCAGAGGACCGTCACAAGGTAACGGACTCTTACACTTACACTATCACCTACCCTATCACTTACTCTTACCCTAA